TCATGGGGCCCCCCCGGGCAGTGCCCAAGTTCCCAAATGGTCAGTCCGCCCCTAGGCGGATACAGTCCGACAATTTAGACAGGAGCCAATTAACCTACCAGCGGGAGTGTGGGAAGAAACCAGAGGAAAGCCACACAGGCACAGGGAGAACATGCAAACTCCAGACAGGTGGTGCTGTGGTTGGGATTTGAACCAACAACCCGAGTACTGCCAGATGGAAGTTCTAACCATTTAGCCACTGTGCTGCCCAAAATGAAAGGTAACTTTTAATAATATTCAATTACTGTGGATTGTCTAGCATTGTATATGCTATCTAGAGACCCAGCCACCATCCTAAAAAATTGCAGATAAAAGCACAAAAAATCAAGTATTTTAAATGACTACTTACAGTGCTTTTCCTTTCCATAAGGCCTAGTTCACACTAGCTCGACCTCCGATGCGACTTGAGTTGCACAGAATCGCATGACAAGGGAAACCTCATTAATGCAACTCAGAACAGTGCAATTTTGGAAAAGGTTCCTGCACTACTTTTGTGTGATTTACAGTGCAGCTTGGACCCATAGAATATGCAAAGTTGCATCAAAGTTGTACCACATAAGCGCACTGTAAATCGTATCAAAGTCGCATCACAGTATTGTGAACAGGGCCTAACTGTTTTTTTTTATTCTCTTACAATGTGCCTTTCTAATTGCTGGAAAATTTGGTTACTCCAAGAAAAGTCAGTTCTCTAGTATACCACCCTTGCATGTCATAGCCATACCATCTTCTGGGAGTGTCTGATTACTGTCTGTACTGGCCCAGCTCCTCCACCCTTTCCTTCACCTCCTTATAATTTTTATATGGAAGCTGAGGGAGGAGCAATGGGAAACACTACAGAGCGTCACTTGAGTGACAGCTCTGAGTCTGCTGGGTCTGCTGACATCCTACCAAGATCTCAGAGCCCAGCAGCAATTTCAGTGTTTTTAGATGTCTACACAAGGGCGGCTTTTTATGGGTAAATACATACCTAAAATGAACAAATAACTTTATAAGAAGCTGCTGCTGAAATACGGGTCTGGTGACAGGCGCTCTTTAAGGCTTGATTCACACCAATGCGTTTTTTAGTGCTGTTTGCAGAAACGCATTACAGTCCATTTAACATGGATTCCTATGGGACACAGTCACAACTATGTTTTTTTGAGCTGTTGCGTTTTTGGAAAGGGTCAGGGACTTTTTTAAATTAAAAAAGCAGCGTTTTTGCTACAATAGAATTAAATGGAGACGCTGTTGAAACGCATGCAATGCATTTTTGCACGCTTTGCATTTTTATTCTGCCCAGCAAAAAAAAATATTTCCCCTTTAACAAAAAAAAGCTGAAAAAAAACAAAAAAAAACGTGTATGCAAACAATGCAAAAAGCACTGCAAAACAGACAAAACGCACACTGCATTGGTGTAAACCACGCCTTAGACGGGCCAGGCTGTTTGCATTATGCTGACTTGATCAGTTCAACCATTCTTGTAACCGATGATAGCTGCTTCAAAGTGGCACTACGTTCCTGTTGTCATATCTAAAATAAGAGATCACCTGGCTTTTAGACATTTGCGTTTTGTTTCAATTCATTTTTCGGACTAAAATTTCATTTTCGGAGATTTGGATATATTTGAATCTCTGAATGGACATAACGACGGATGTCATGTGCATCCAAATGAAACGAAATCAGGATACTTTTGTTATCTGAATCTGAATTATCAAACAAATTTGAAAATGTAATTAATTTCCCCATGGACCCAAACTATCATCACATTTTGTGGCACTATGTCCCTGTTATCCTGGCCGTTAGACATCTGCATTTATCAGACTAAAATTGAATTTTCAGAGATTCGGATGTATACGAATCTCTGAATGGATATAGTGATGAATGTCAAAAAATCAGAAAAAAAATTACAAATGTATTTGTTTCATTCGGATACCTTCACAAAATGTGATAGTAGTTGGGCCCATGGGGAAATGAATAAAATTTTCAAATTTGTTTGATAATTCAAATTTGGATAATGAATGGATCCTAATTTCGTTCCATTATTTATTAATTTATTTCAGGTACTTCTATAGCGCCGTCCATTTACGCAGCACTTTACATATATATTGTACATTCACATCAGTCCCTAACCCTCAACGGGTTCCATTCCTTTCCTTCAGATGCACATAACACCAGTCGAATGTCCAATTCTCATTCTCATGCCATTTCTCTTGGTGGGTTGGACTAGCGTCCGAAAATATTGAATCTGTCTGATTCAATAATATATCAAATATATAGCAATCTTCCGGAAAAAACTGCAAAATTTTTCGAATCCACCCAGGCCAACAAATATATGAAATGAATCCCGAAGATACAAAATGAATTCTGAAAACTAATCAGTTCAACATAAGTAATATAAAAAATGAAATTCTTCAATGAACGAATGTATCTGAAACTAAACTAAATGAACATTTCTGGCAAGTCTATTGGCTTTATACAGACAAAAGTGATGAAAACAATTTCTCCTGTAATAAAAAAAGATTCAAAATCTCTTTTTGAAATTTTTATTAGGTGGCCACTTATAGTGAACCTGTCAATAACTTTACAAGTCTGCAGAAATAAATTCCCACATGTCACAATATACGGCAAGAGGATAATTTTTCAGAAAAGCTCCACAAGCCCTTCTTGAGTTTCAGTCTAGTGACTGAGCCTAGGCTAAGGCAGGCCATACACTATACAATTTTCTGTCCAATTTCTGCCCAATTTCCTTTACACTTACCTTCAACTATGTAATGCAAGGGCCTGCCTAATTGGATACAATTGAATGTGTTGTTTAGGTTTGACCTCATATTATATGGTTTTTGGTAACTCTAAACCAAACTTCTCAAGAAAATTGTATAGTGTATGGCCAGCCTAAGGCTGGCCATACACTGTACAATTTTCTGTCCAATTTCTGCCCAATTTACTTTAGATTTATCTTCAACTATGTAGTGCAAGGGCCTGTCTAATTGGATACAATTGAAAGTGTTGTTAGGTTTGACCTCATATTATATGGTTTTTAGTAAATCTAAAGCAAAAATCTCAAGAAAATTGTATAATGTATGGCCAGCCTAAGGCTGGCCATACACTATATAATTTTCTTACAGTTTTCTGCCCAATTTCCTTTAGAATTTCCTTTCAGTTTGTAGTGCAAGGGCTTGCCTAATTAGATACTATTGAAAGTGTTGTTTAGGTTTGACCTCATAATATATGGTTTTTGGTAAATCTAAAGCTAAAATCTCCGGAAAATTGTATAATGTATGGCCAGCCTAAGGTTGGCCATACACTATGCAATTTTCTGTCCAATTTCCTTTAGATTTACCTTCCACTATGTAGTACATGGGTCTGCCTAATTTGATACAATTGAAAGTGTTGTTTAGGTTTGAACTCATATTATATGTTTTTTGGTAAATCTAAAGCAAAATTCTGAAGAAAATTGTGTAATATATGGCCAGCCTTAGCTGATGTCATCAGTCTGCTGCATTGATGATGAAGAATTTCCTCAGTCTCCTCTCCACTGGTGATCAGGCTGTACATTGTAACTGTAAAAGTCAAAAGGTGAGGAGCTGTAGCAGGGGCTGCTCTTTGGCAGCGATGTGTGGACACAGACACCAGGATTTACATGACTGTGTCACCTCTGAGCTACCATTTCGGCCCAGAAGTAGATGGTGACGCTTGGTGATGCCTGAACAAAGATGGCACCATTCTCCTGGGGAGAAAGTCAGATATTGGCATTTCAGGGGGCATAGTGTGATCTCTCTGAGAGGTAATAAATGCCTGGAAGTCTTACACTGAAACATTACTTAGCAGGGTGCATTTTACATTATAAAATATCATCATATAAATCTGATGACAAGTCCACTTTCTAGGCTTCCACTGACAGCTGTTTAACTATGATGCTGGATGATGGAACTGCGCTGTAAGTCCATCAAATGAGGATGTTTTCACAGGTGCCGGTAGCGTGTGCGGGACGGCGGAGGGCTGTTTAATGGACACAACTCCAGCTGCTTTTGCCTTGAAATGGAACAAGTTTATAAATACCATTCAGATTTAACAGGCTGATTGTGATCAGTGTCATTAATTATGGCAAATGTGCCTTATCGCGGTCCAAGGATCGCTCTGCCCACAAACCTGCCTGGAGCAGCTCCTGTGTTTCCAGATTAGGGACAAGCAAATTAACTTGGTTTCAGCTTGTGTGGTCCATTTTTCATGGATTCCAGTCTATTAGTGGGAAAAGCAATTAGAGTATAAATGCACGTTTGTGAGAAAAATAAAAGCGGACAGTTACACAGCAAATGGTTGAATCGCTGCCCGCAATGTTAATCCTGTGAAGTTTCTGGAAGGACATGTAAAGGGAAAGGGGGAGGAAGCCGTTCCTCCCTCCTTAAAGCTCACCGTACACATTACATTCTGATTGCCCAATCTTTATCCGATCTCTTATTTATTTACCAACGCTATGTAATATGAGGACCTACCCAAAGGATCAAATCAATGTGTATCCAATCAGGAAGTCTCCTGTAATTACATAGTTAATGGTGAATCTAAAGGAGGTTGTGCAATCAGATCCAATTAGATAAGTTAACACCAATGATCTTTTTGGGTATTTGTAAATGGGGCATTTTTCCTGCTTACCACTAATATAAGGAGTATTCTTACCATTGACCCCACAATATAAAGAGCATTTTCCCACTGATCACCAATGTAAGGAGCATTCTTCCCACTGATCACCAATGTAAGGAATATTCTTCCCACCGACCCCCAATGTAAGGAGCATTCTTCCCACCGACCCCCAATGTAAGGAGCATTCTTCCCACTGATCACCAATGTAAGGAATATTCTTCCCACCGACCCCCAATGTAAGGAGCATTCTTCCCACCGACCCCCAATGTAAGGAGCATTCTTCCCACCGACCACCAATGTAAGAAGTATTCTTCCCACCGACCCCCAATGTAAGGAGTATTCTTCCCACCGACCACCAATGTAAGGAATATTCTTCCCACCGACCCCCAATGTAAGGAGCATTCTTCCCACTGACCCCCAATGTAAGGAGCATTCTTCCAACCGACCACCAATGTAAGGAGCATTCTTCCCCCCGACCACCAATGGAAGGAGCATTCTTTCCACCGACCACCAATGGAAGGAGCATTGTTCCCACTGATCACCACTGTAAGGAATATTCTTCCCATTGACCACCAATATAAGGAGTGTTCTTCCCACTGACCACCAATGTAAGGAGAATTCTTCACACTGATCACCAATGTAAAGAGCATTTTCACACTGATCACCAATGTAAAGAGCATTTTCACACTGATCACCAATGTAAGCAGTATTCTTTCCACTGACCTCCAATGTAAGGAGCATTCTTCCCACTTGCCTCCAATGTAAGGAGTATTCTTCCCACTGAATACCAATGTAAAGAGCATTTTCCCACTGACCACCAATGTAAAAAGCATTTTCCCACTGATCACCAATGTAAGGAGCATTATTCTTACTGGCTCCCAATGTAAGGAGTATTCTTTCCACTGATCCCCAATGTAAGGAGTATTCTTCCCATTGACCACCAATGTAAAGAGCATTTTCCCACTGACCACCAATGTAAGGAGCATTGTTATCACTGGCCCCAATGTAAAGTACATTATTCTTACTGGCTCCCAATGTAAGGAGTATTCTTTCCACTGATCCCCAATGTAAGGAGTATATTCTTCCCACTGACTCCACAATACAAGGAGCATTTTCCCACTGACCCCCAATGTAATGTGTATTCTTCCCACTGACCACCAATATAAGGAGTGTTCTTCCCACTGACCACCAATGTAAGGAGTATTCTTCACACTGATCACCAATGTAAAGAGTATTTTCACACTGAACACCAATGTAAGCAGTATTCTTCCCACTGACCTACAATGTAAGGAGCATTCTTCCCACTTGCCTCCAATGTAAGGAGTATTCTTCCCACTGAATACCAATGTAAAGAGCATTTTCCCACTGACCACCAATGTAAAAAGCATTTTCCCACTGATCACCAATGTAAGGAGCATTCTTATCACTGGCCCCCAATGTAAAGTACATTATTTTTACTGGCTCCCAATGTAAGGAGTATTCTTTCCACTGATCCCCAATGTAAGGAGTATTCTTCCCATTGACCACCAATGTAAAGAGCATTTTCCCACTGACCACCAATGTAAGGAGCATTCTTATCACTGGCCCTAATGTAAAGTACATTATTCTTACTGGCTCCCAATGTAAGGAGTATTCTTTCCACTGATCCCCAATGTAAGGAGTATTCTTCCCACTGACCACCAATGTAAAGAGCATTTTCCCACTGATCACCAATGTAAGGAGCATTCTTATCACTGGCCCCCAATGTAAAGAACACTATTCTTACTGGCCCCCAGTGTAAGGAGCATTCTTCCCACTGACTCCCAATTCTTGGATGTGTACTGAGGAGCGTCTGGTACAAAAGTTCATCTAGCTTAAATGCTCTTTGGAACATTTATTATTTTTTTCTTACATGTACTTATATAGCACTGTCAATTTATGCAGTGCTTTACATGTATATTTTGTACATTCACATCAGTCCCTAACCCTCAAGGGGTGTCCAATCTCAGGTCCCTAACTCACATTCATACATACACATTAGGGCCAATTTTAGAGAGGAGCCAATTAACCTACCAGCATGTCTTTTGTAGTGTGGGAGGAAATCAGAATACCTGAAGGAAATCCATGCAGGCACAGGGAGAACATGCAAACTCCAGGCAGGTTGTGCCGTGGTTGGGATTTGAACTGATGACCCTAGTAGTTCCAGGCGGAAGGCTAACCATTTAGCTACTGTGTTGGTTATAAACATAAAATACAATCAGTGTGTTTCAGAGGAAAAAGGCCTCCCCCTTCTTCAGGGCTTGAGAAGTCAATATTAAAAAAAAAAACAAATCAGGACAAAATGCACTATGTTAGACTTGATGAAGACTAATGTCTCCTGTTGGCATTAATTGCGGCTTGCTGAGTACAGTGCTGACAGGTGACATTAGATTTCATCAAGCTTTAACACAGGTCCCTATTCTGTTGAGTTCCACAAAGTTCTTTACGTAGGATGAACTTTTATACAAGGAGCTCCACAGTTTACATCCCAGAATTTACCATCTGGCAAGCACTTCCTTTGCCACAATCAGAGAGGTAGCAGTCTGGGGACTAGAACAAGGTCCACCTATACTATATTTCAACTATGGATCTTCTTTGAAGGAAAAATCACTTTACAGTAGATTCATTAGAACCAACTCTCACTTTTACAATCGGTCCAGTGCTATCCCACACTCTCAGATACTGACCCCCAATCCCGTCAGGGTGAATGCCAATGGACTGGATCCTTCAACGTAAGCTTCCACTCCATGGCTGCAGATGGGAACTTTTTAAAGCTGTATAGGCTCATGTCTGGTCTTAAACATGTGAGTGACTTTCTTAATCCTTTTTAAATACTATAACAGTGAGCACTATATAGGCTCTCATTGTCTTTTAACATAACTTAAAATCGCCCATCCACCCATCTGAGCTGCTGAGGTTCTCCAAGAGCAAGCGACCTTGCTAATTAAAAAGAAAAGGAGTCTGTTAGTGTTGGAGCTTAGTGACCTTTGTCATGGGAGTCAATATAGAGAGGTGAGAGTTTGCCCAAAAGAGATTCATCATTGTGGAGGTGCATTATACTTGCACGTTCTTGCAGCACCTACCTAGGAGTGACATACACTACAGCCACTTTATTAGGTACGCCTTGCTAGTATCAGGTTGGACCCCCTTTTGCCTTCAGAACTGCCTTCTTTGTGGCATAGATTCAACAAGGTGTTGGAAATGTTCCTCAGAGATTTACTGTTGCCTTTCTATCATCTTGAACCAGTCTGCCCATTCTCCAATGACCTCTGACATCAACAAGGCATTTTCGTCCACACAACTGCCGCTCACTGGATATTTTTCTCTTTTTTGGACCATTCTCTGTAAACCCTAGGGATGGTTGTATGTGAAAATCCCAGTAGATCAGCATTTTTTTAAATCCTCCGACCAGCCCGTCTGGTGCCAACAACCACATTCAAAGTCACTTAAATCCCCTTTCTTCCTCATTCTGATGCTCAGTTTTAACTTCAGCAAGTCATCTTCACGTCTAGATGCCTAAACGTATTGAGTTGCTGCCATGTGATTGGCTGATTAGCTATTTGTGTTACCAACAGGTGCAGACTGACAACTCATGGGGCCCCCGGGCAATAGGGGGTCATGGGGCCCCTGTGTCCTTGCCCAAACTCAAAAAAGCCTATGAAAAAGGTACCAGGGGCATCTCATGGAGCCCCCTACCGACCCCAGGCAGTGCCCGAGTTTCCAAATGGTCAGTCCACCCCTGGTTACCAAGCAATTGAAAAGGCGTACCTTAAAAAAGTGGACGGTGAGTGTACTTGCCTTAGTTGCCTGGTGATTGGGGACTGGGCAGCAACACCTGATAAAAGAGGCTATCACTGGAACTTTATTGGTAAGATCCCTGCACTGAGTTCCCACATCTGCACACCTGCTGTGCCCCTTATGAGGGACTCCAGCCATCCCTGTGCTGAGATCTCAGATCTTCAAACATGCTGTGCCCATTATGAGAGGCACATATCATCCCTGCACTGGGTTCCTGAATCTTCAAACCTGCTATGCCCATTATGAGTTCCCATCATTCCTAAGCTGAATTCCCAGGTCTGCACACCTGCTGTACCCATTATAAGGGGCCCCCCACCATCACTGACCCGAGTTCCCAGATTTGCAAAGCTGATATACCCCTTGTGAGGGGCTTCCACCGTCCTTGCACTAAGTTCCTGGATCCACAAAGCTGCTGTGCCCACTAGGAGAAGATCCCACCATCACTGCTGGAGTTTTCATTCATTTTTTATATGAGGAATGTAAAAAAAGATGCAAAAAATTAATTTTGCAACCAAAGGAGTAATATTTTACTGATGATTTCCCCTAGAGACAAAGGGGACCTGAGAAGAACCCTGCTTATTTAAATCTACACACAATGTATGACTTTTGGGTGGACTGACCCTTTAAGCTGTCCCATGATGGGAGTTCTCCCATTCTCAGAATACGGTCAAGCTTCATTTCCAACAATAATAAAATTCTGGTTCACATTTTGTTGCCAAAAGGACTCATTGACCCTGCCATAGATTTGAAGCTGCAGCATCTACTAAACAGTCCCACCTGCTGCCTCCAGGAGGAACTACACAGATGACAGTAAACCAGCCTGATCACACATCTCTGGGCATATGTAGAGTATGGGCGCCTCCTGCTGGCTGATTACAGTCACATCAATATAGATGCCTCTGGAAGGATTCAATTGTTGCTCCATGGTTGTTCCATGAAGCCAGAATGGCCAGCTTGGCTAGGTGCAGGGGACGAGGGGCAATTGTGACCACAGGCTAGTATATAAAAAAATATGTTTGTCTAGTAGCCAATGGAATGGAGATAATCCCTCATTTAAACCTCAGTTAAAGCAAAACCTGCAATCCTGTAGTCATCTGGCCATACACTGATCAAACTTCAGCAGGTTCAGCAGGGACAGGTTAAATTTTGATCAGTGTGTGGCAGTCCCTACTTGACAAACGTCAAATGTTTGATTGACTTCTCTCAAAGGGACATGCTAAAAAACGTTTCTCAATCAGCAGCTGCAGATGTGTATCCTGGCAGTATGGCCAGTGTTATGTCTATGGACACATTTACCAGCTAACTACACTGTCTGAGCTCTGGATCAGTGTATTTAAAGAGACGCTCAATCCAGCAAGAGAAGACAACCAATCAGTGATTAACTAATACAATCCTGCAAAATATTCTAAATTCTAAATGTCAGTTTATCATTTGTTTGAACCTTCAGGCTCTTCACAGTCCTTCTGAGCAATACTGCATTTTCTTGTCACATGGTTCTGCGTTATGCTTATTCTTCTCATGCTCCACTGATTATCGGTGGGCTCCAGTGGGTTCAAAGGACTGCAATCAGGGAACATGGGTCTGCATTTTCACAGGCTAAGGGCTCATTCACCCTTGACTAATTTCTAATGCTTGCCAAATGCCCCTATAGCGCTTAACATGTGTTAGACAGGCATTTGGGAAGCGTTTTTAAATCTCCTTATGAGTGTTTTTGCTGCATTTGATAGGCGTTTGCCAAGCGTTAAAACCGCACCACAAACACCTACAAGCATTAAAAACGCTTCCCAAATGCCTGTTAACAAAGCTAGTGTGAACGTAGCCTAAGTATTGTGGCCATCCAGAAAAAGAGGATGATGACAGTGGTAGGTGTGTATTGAGAGCAGAAGTTGGGTGGTGTCATAAAAAAAAGCTGCACTGCATTGCAATCTTTGATTCTTATTACCTTTTTCCCAAAAAGGCATCAGTCCAGCATTTTACTAGCATGCCATCTTACATGTATAATCATCATAAAGACCGCAAATAATAAAAACAAATAAAAGTAGATTGAACAAATAGTCCCACTCCAAAAATCATGTGAAATATATAAAGTCAAAAAAAAACAAAAAATAATTAAAAAACAAAAAAATGTCTTTGTTCAAAAGAAATGTGCTTCCACCATGAACCAGTGCTCCAACCAACATATACCGCACTCACCAGATATTGGTGGCGTAAACATCTTTTTGGACATTATTGCATGTTGGGTGTTGAAGTATTACACCATCTGTGATTTTTATCTCTCCTGCACTATTTTGGAGCCTGTCTGGGAGGAGAAGTTTGGAGGTATTAGAAGGTAGATTAAAGGTCTCATGTGGTGGAGTGGAGTCCTGGAGGCTGAAAAGAAGGATCTAGGATCCCTAAAATACCTAAAACTCCACCAATATCTGGTGAGTGCAGTATATTTGATTGGAGCACTGGTTCATGGTGGAAGCACATTTCTTTTGAACAAAGACTTTTTTTGTTTTTTAATTATTTTTTGTCTTTATATATTTCACATGATTTTTGGAGTGGGACGATTTGTTCAATCTATTTTTATTTGTTTTTATTATTTGCGCTGTTTATGATGATTTTACATTTTTGGTGTTTATTGCACTTGTGTACAGCAGCATTTAATTTATTTATTAATTGGGTATACACATTTCTTTGGCGCTGGGGATTTATGATTATACATCTTACATGTATATCTGTAAGTGCATTTTTCAGTGTCTTTTTTTTCAATTCACTGTAGGGAGTAATATACAAAGATCTTGGAGTGCCGATCAAAGCACTACAAAGCCTCCCCTTGCAGTCCAAACCACAGACGACGTTCAACCCAGCTCATCCATGCTAACAGAAGCAAAATCAAAAAGGTAGAAGCGGTGCACACCAGAACCCGGCACTATACAGGTATAAAGGGGAAGATACATTTCTGTAGTGTCTGGCGCTTCCACCTTCTGTCTTCAGATCCACTTTAGGGAGAGCTGCTAAATTATTTAAAGTTGAACTCCAGGGAAATGTCCCTCAGACAGCCAGCAGTTTCCTCTTCCCAATGGGTTTCGGGCATGACCTTGGTGTACTCACTTACAGTGCAGAGTGTGACCAACAGACAGAGTACCAACAAGAAGCAGCTTTGGGGGACCGGTCGTAGGGAGAGGAGAAAGTCTGCAGGACCAAGGGGTAAGGTAAGTATAGCTCAGCTCAGCTTTAAGGGCAGCTTCACCCAAAATGATACTTCTGTGCTACATGAGCCCCAAGGGGTTTAAGCCCAAACTGCCAACACATTGTGAACACCTAGAAAATTGTGCCAGCTGACAGCGACATAGTGATCACAGGACTTTGTTTTTCAGCAGAGGGTTAGGGTAAACATTGGCTTTGTTTATCAACAGGTGTGTATGTATGCATGTACAGTTGTGTTCAAAATAATAGCAGTCAGACATCACTAACCTGATCAATCACTGTTTTTGGTAGAAATGATATTTCTACATGGCAAATAATTTACTAGCAGGTGTAGTAGAGTAATAGAAATCCAACAGACCCAACAGTCATGACATGCATGCTGCTGATTCTGTGTAATCGAATCACTAATTGAAAGGGGCATGTTCAAAATAATAGCAGTGTGGAGTTTGATTAGTGAGGTCATTCATTCTTTGAAAAACAGGTGGCAATTATTGCCCTTATTTAAGGAAGGAACGCAGCAAATGTTGTACATGCTGGTTACAGTGCATTTCTCTCTGAAATTCTGAGGAAAATGGGTCGTTCCAGACATTGTTCAGAAGAACAGCGTACCTTGATTAAAAAGTTGATTGGAGAGGGGAAAACATATAAAGAAGAAGTGCAGAAAATGATAGGCTGCTCAGCTAAAATGATCGCAAATGCTTTAAAATGGCAACCAAAACCTGAAAGTCGTGGAAGAAAGCGAAAAACTACCATTCAAATGGATAGAAGAATAGCCAAAATGGCAAGGACTCAGCCAACAATCAGCTCCAGGAAGATCAAAGAAGGTCTAAAGTTACCTGTGAGTACTGTTACAAATAGAAGACGCCTATGTGAAGCCAAGCTATCTGCAAGAAGCCCCCGCAAAGTCCCACTGTTGAAAAAAAGACGTGCTGAAGAGGTTACAATTTGCCAAAGAGCACATTGACTGGCCTGAAGCGTAATGGCGCAACATTTTGTGGACTGATGAAAGTAAGATTGTTCTTTTTGGGTCTAGTGGCCGGAGACAGTTTGTCAGACGGACCTCCAAACACTGAATTCAAGCCACAGTACACTGTGAAGACAGTGAAGCATGGTGGTGCAAGCATCATGATATGGGGATGTTTCTCATACTACGGTGTTGGGCCTATTTATCGCATACCAGGGATCATGGATCAGTTTGAATACATCAGAATACTTGAAGAGGTCATGCTGCCTTAGGCTGAAGAGGAAATGCCCTTGAAATGGGTGTTCCAACAAGATAACGACCCCAAACACACCAGTAAATGTGCAAGCATCTTGGTTCCAGACCAACAAGATTGACGTTATGGAGTGGCCAGCCCAATCCCCGGATCTTCATCCAATAGAAAACTTGTGGGGTGACATCAAAAATGCTGTTTCTGAGGCAAAACCAAGAAATAGAGAAGAACTGTGGAATGTAGTCCAATCATCCTGGGCTGGAATACCTGTTCACAGGTGCCAGAAGTTGGTTGACTCCATGCAACACAGATGTACAGCAGTTCTCAGAAACAGTGCTTATACAACTAAATATTCATTAAGTGATTCAAAGGAAAGCAAAATCTTCAAACATTTTTCAGTTTATATAGTGAATGTTTGAGTTTGTAAAGAAGAATACAAACACTGCTATTTTTTGAACAGTTTAATATTCACTTTTCTTCAATTTTGTTTAGGGGAACAACACAAATTTGATATATTTTTCTTCATGCTTTGATTTGGAATAGAATGTGTAGTGTTCCCAATGCATTTGTGTGTATGGAAATAAAAGCTATTAGAAGGATTGAGCTTTATTCACTTTTTTCAACACACTGCTATTATTTCAAACACAACTGTATGTATGTGCGGTTTTATTTTTCAGTCACATTTTTCCAATGCAGCCTACATTTCAAAGTTGGAAGCTAATGTCAATGAAATGATGGCATGGCAAAATCAGCAACTTTGCAGCAAATATTTTCCCCAAATCACTCCTCCCTCATCCCTTATGCCAGTACGATACAGTCAACACTTTTCCAACATTTTTCCAGGTCACCTGTAGTAACGAAGTCAAACATTTCATACCCAACTTTGTTACAGGTCAGACAAAAAACAATTCTAACAACTTTGATGAAGAAAAATTAATGATTTATTAGAACAATTGTCTAGTTCTTCAGGAAATGTTGACACATGCAATGCCATGTCTGAAGAATCGCTGCAACATCATTGGATAACCGATGACCAATATCCCTTGTAATCAGTGAACTTTAAGGACCAGTTCACACTACAAAAATGCACTCCGGTTGCATTTCGGATACGTTTTAGCTCACAGGTCACACCACAAGCAGTTCCGGTGCAGTTTTGGTGCAGTTTGCTATGTTCCAGTATGGTTCTGTGCAGAAAAAATACAACATGTGCTACCTTTTTTTTTTTCTGCACCGGAAACTGACTGGAACTGACTGCACTGGTGTGAACTAGGACCATTGGAATACATGGAAAACACTGTGCATGCATTTTTGATGCAGAAAAAAGCACACCAAACTGCACCTAGTGTGAACTAGACCTAAATGTTTCTTGGATATCTGGGACACTTTGAGACTGTGCAAGCAGTAGGAACAAGATGAGTAATAAATAGCATGTATCAAGTTCATTTTTTTCCTTTCTCCAACTTCAAATTCCCATTTGCCGAAAAGCTGCCCTGTAAGGCAAGGGGCTGATAAAGAAATTTCATTCTCTGATGGCATTCTTTAACAAGACTTGATGCAACCACAGCTAACATGAGCTCCTGAAAGGGGTCTCTCATCAAGTAGGAAGAAAAAAGCAACTGAATGCCTGAGCTCCTGTGCTGGTCAATGGACTCCACAATGTCAATAACCCCACATGTGCATGAAAAGAATGCAAGCCTTGCTGCCCTCAACAGAAAGGGAAATCCAAAGAGAACTGTATATGAAGAGACAAAAAGAGGGTGCATGGGCTTAGTGCATTACCTTTAAAATCTAGATTTATTGATTAAAAAGTAAAATACTCACAAGAGAAATAAAATCAAATGGAAAGCATGTCACAAGAGATGCCGTGGGGTCCAAGACCCCTGAAGGTAGTCTGGTGGGGGACTGTAGACCTCTGGATATCTGACACGTTTTAAGGTTGTACCTCTTCCTCAGAGCCAATGTCTACACAACCTGAGAGGACACAGGTTGTGTAGACATTGGCTCTGAGGAAGAGGTACAACCTCAAAATGCGTCAGCCATCAGCTATCCAGAGGTCTACAGTCCCCCACCAGACTACCTTCAGGGGTCTTGGACCCCACTGCATCTCTTGAGACATGCTTTCCATTTGATTTTATTTCTCTTGTATTTTACTTTTTAATCAATTAATCTAATTTTTAAAAGGTAATGCACTAAGCCCGTGCGCCCTCTTTTGGTCTCTCATCAAAGACAATACTTCTGTGTGAAGCTGTAGGTGGAAGATGACTTCAGGCCACCCACCCAGTCCATTAAAGTGAAGCCCAGCTTAAGCAGCAGGCCAAAATCATCACAGTTCTGGAACTACTATTGTGTCTGGGAGACGGAGAGTGACAGCTTTCAGCTAAGGCTTTGCCCAAGTGATTTTCTAAGATATAGAACCCTTTAAAGAATAAGGTAATCAAGATCCAAAATCTCAGTGTTTGGAAGATGGTGAAGAGATAATACACCCAACAATTTCTTCTATCTTTCAGGGACCCAGTTGGTGAAATCTCTGCGTGGAGTTCCCAGACCTGCACACCCACTGTACCCATTTTGAGGGGTTCCCAGGTCTACACACCTAATGTACCCATAAAGACAGGTTCCCACATACCTGGCCTGTAGACCAGCTGTGTACATAAGGAGTTCCCACCATCCCTGCTGGATTTGTGCTTATAATATCATAAAGAATATAATAGGAGGAGCTAGAACACATAAAGCTGAGTAGGAATACCCAAAACTCTCAGGTGTGCAGCACAGGGTAAAGTCAGGAATTATGGCAGGGAGATCTCGCTGTTGGAGAATCCAAGGCATAGAAGAAGCCATGGGCTAACACAGTCCTATAACCTTCAGTTATAACTTAAAATATCACTCCATGTATCTAGGGGTGACCCCAAAGCATCGCATGTGGCACCTGCTTCCTGGGCACATGAACATTGCTGATGCAGCAAAACCTCCTGATCAGCCCTCCTGTTCCCCTCACTTCCATGAGAATTCCCCCTACTTCATGTTGTATCTCCAGGACAGACAGGAAAGAATTGTCTCCAGCATGGACAGATAGGCATTCTAACAATTCTGCACAACATCTGAAACTATCAACTTACATTCAAATAGTGTTAAGCAAGTCTTCTTTAAGACTATGGTGGTCTTTGAAGTCTTGGTGTGATTTTACAAAGGAGATTTGTGAAAACTGTAATCAATTGCACCAAACTGATGACAGTGCTTGTAGTGAAGGTTGGGTGGTGGTGCCATCTATTTGCACAGTCCTGCTACATTGTAGCCTCTAGGAAAGGTAAACAGAAAACAAGTGCATGTTGTGGCCCTCAGATGGGGCTCCGCGAACGTACTCACAGACCTCCGTGAACACGCAGTACTTGAGGAACACACGATGCTTGCCCAGCGTGCCGGGGTTGACGTCGCGGCTCAGGATGTAGATGCCGTCATTGTGCAGGGTGCAGCATATGCTCAGCCCCGATTTGGAGGTGTTCACTTTGAGGCAGGTGAACTCCTTGGTCCGAGTGTCATACGAATGTACGTTCAGGGAGTCCTCGCTCTGTCCGGACTGACCATCCCGTATGAATCCGCCTACCAAGTACAAAGTCTCCTCGATGGACACCATCTGCTGCTTCCGGACGTGATGTCGCCAGATGTCAAACTCCGACCATTGGTCAGCCAAGGGGCAGTACCGCAACACCTTCAGGTTTCGTCCTGAATGTGGAAAGATGGAAAAAATATGGCTCATCATTAACCGAAGTCTAATATAACATTTGAAGGGTATGTAAACCCTAAGCATGAACTTCTCTAATTTGCTTGAACTTGGTCCACTAAATATATTATTAAAAATGTTCTCTTATATCTGTTTGACAAGAGCAAAAAAAAAAAAAATTGATACTACAGAAAACTTGTGAGCTGAAAGCTTCCTGTGCAGTCTGTGTTGAGGGTTTACTAACCACTTCCCATCTGACCACTGTACATAAACAGCCAGACAGGTGCTTTCTGGATGCAGGAACGCATATAAATATATATATATATATATATATATATATATATATATATATATATATATAAATATATATACATATATACATATATATATATATACACACACACACACACACACACACGACCTTCCACTTCTGCTGCTCGCGAGCGCACTTTAGGGTGTACAGTGGCACACGCTGTAATCAATGTGACCTTAAGACACAGCATATCACAATTGAGGGTACAGGGACAAAGAAATTGAGGAGGAATTTTGGAGATGAGAAGAAGGGTTTATGGAGATGTGGAGAGGCAGAGGTTGACAAGCAGTCTGTGTTCTTTATACTCATCAGAAATTAAGTAGGCAGGGCTGACACCAGCTTAGGAATTGTGTGGTCATGTCAAGGAGGAAAGTAGGAGAACACTATATTTCTGACCCATTACCAGTTATTTTGCTGTACTTGTAGCACCTTTAAAGGTAATAAGCATGGGGAAATACATACTCCAGTGATGTACTATATTTTTTTTGTATTATTTAATTTTATTTTTCCTTGACATTCACAATTGTACATTCAAAACACCCTTCTTTTATTTGGTCCATTTTGGTCTGTTAAATATACCAATGAAAGTGTTTTGTTATATCTGTTTGATAAGTGAAAAAAGTGTACACCACTCTTATGAGTCTCATTGTTCCCAGCTTTCTCTTAGGACTTCTGTGGTGCTAACACACTGCTTGTTCTAGGGCAGCAATGGGCAAACTACGGCCCGCGCGGCCGTGTACGGCCCGGCGGACCTTTTAATCCGGCCCGTGGAGCATGATGCTGTCAGGATGTGTGTAGGCGGGGCAGCATGACGAACGTGAGGGGAGCTAGGCTCCTCTCACAGTCCGCCCTGAAGACCGGAACGGCGCGGGAACACGGCGAGAGGAACGCGCGGAGCAAAGGTAAGTGAATGAATTACTATGGGGGATGAATTACTATATGGGGGGAATACTATGGGAATTACTATGGGGGATGAATTACTATGGGGGATGAATTACTATATGGGGGGGGGATTAATTACTATATGGGGGATTAATTACTATATGGGGGGTGAATTATTACTTTATGGGGGATTAATTACTATGCTTACTATGGGGGAATATTACTATACTTACTATGGATGACACATACACATCATTCATCTACTCTTGGTCCGGCCCCCGGGTCCAATATATGAACCCATTGCGGCCCTCAAGTCAAAAAGTTTGCCCACCCCTGTTCTAGGGCAACATCACCACTCTTCCATAAATAGAGTACAGTGAGTGAGCATTGTCACCTTAGGAAAAGAAGTGTGTTTTTGGCAGGATTACCAGGTGCTACAAAAGGGGGAAAAAAATTCTTGATTAAAAAAAGAAAACTAATGCAACCACATCTAAGGTTTGTAAGCTGCAATATATTTTTTTCTCTCAGGCTTGGATACAGTTTAGATGCCCACAGGTAGACAACCAAAAGTTTTTTTTAATTGATCTTCCCTTATGATAGCCAACAAGCAGCTAATAGGCCACAGCAAACTTCTGCAGCTGAGCAATAACCATTGAAATACTGAAATGGCAGGGTACTCAGAAATGCACATCTTTTGTTCACTGAACAGGTTTGGTTTGTAGTACTCACCTGTAATGCTCACATCTGCTGGTTTTGGTTCCTGCCAGGGAGTATTCACATGTCCATATCTGGTCAATGACATCACCTGGGAGACCCACCTTATGTTTACGACAAAGACGTGGGTCCTGGGACATGTCATTCGGTGCGACTGAGAGGCAGGAGAAGATTGTGCCAGTGGGATGTTTTTCTTTCAGTGATTTAGAGAGCTTCTTTCATTGTGAATGAAGAGAATCTACATCACTGGATGATGTGATTGACGGAGTACATACTGGGTTTAAGAACTTGTCAAAAAATGTGGTATGTTTACATTTTCCATGTACCCCTTACTCATGTGGGGGAGTATCTGGGGGGCCCCTTATCTGAAGGTGGGGCTCATAGATTCTGAAAAAGCCCATAGAACCCCACAAACACCAGGCCAGGGTTGGAGGAAAGAGGCCCTTGTCCTCATCAACATGTGTACAAGGTGCTTTGCCTGGTGGGTGCCCCCTGGCAAGGTACACCAATGTGCATGTTATCCACAATCCCATGTTAAGAGCATGTGGCCTGGCATGGATCAGGAAGTGGTCTGCATGCTCACATACAGATGCACCACTCCACAGGCAGGTTAAGGGCATCCTCCAAGCATGTTAAATTAATTTTGCATCTTTAATGTTTCTCATTAACCACATAAGGTCCACCCTATAGCAGTTTTACAGCCCTCCTGTGCAAAATCACATATATATATGTGATTGTGCACCTCTGCCATAGGGGGGCGCATGCGTGCCACTGGAGGATCACTTCTACTGTGAACACCCACAGCAGAAGCCGATCTGCGAGTGCTGGTGAATGGATGTCCGCCGGCACCAACCAATCGTCAGGCAGGACAGAACAGAGCTCTGTTCCAGAGGTCAAGTGGTTAAGCATTATTAAGTCGCTGCTCTCCAACCAATGGAAAAATGTAAAAAAGTATATATTTCCTTTGGTACATGTTCCCCAAGGCAGTATCCACCCCCCATGCCCATGCCGTTTGTTTGACAACCCCTTAGTCTATTACTGTTTTTTTTAACATTCGGCTACCATTGCCTTTAATGAATTTACGCAAAGCTCACTAGACCTGCCTCAAACTGAACCCGGGTACATTTCACTCATCCCTACTATGCATAAACAACAGCTATGGAAGTCGTGGGGACATATATTAAAGTGCATTTATCAATTATTTAGAATGTATAAATACTTGATTGTCCATAGTCGAGCTACAGGTTAGCTCTGGGTTAATTTATTTTTCTTAATGTTGTCCTAAACGGGTAATAAAATAGAACCAAAAAAAAAAAAAAAAAAAAAAACTCGGATTGCAACATTTACCTATAATTTGTTGTTTTTCCCTGCAGTACAACTTCTTTACCACAGGATGTCCTTAGTCTTCCAGGTTGAATGAAGCATTACAGAAAAAATTCAGTAGCATGCACAACAGAATGCACAGGTCAGCAGTAACACACAGTGCAGGGGTCAGTAGCATGGAACTCAGAGTTAAGGGGTCAGCAGCAAGTATTGCAGAGTTCATTAGAAAGTAACAGGAGGTCAGGAGTATGTAATGCAAAGTGCAGGAGTCAGTAGCATGTAATACAGAGTGCAAAGGCTGGTAGCATATAATGCAGAGTGCAAGCAGCAAAGCTCTGAGGTCAGTAGTAACCACAGAGTTCAGGAATATGCAACGCATAGTGCAGGGTTCAGTAGTAGATAACGCAGGGTTCATTAGTAAATAAACTTGGTGTGTTGGGGTCAGTAGTATCGTACAGTATAGGGGTCAGTAAGTAAGGCAGAGTGTGGAGGTCAGTTGTAGGTACCATAGAGTTCAGAGGTCAGGAAGAGGTAAGTAATGCAGAGTTCAAGGGTCACCAATAACTCAGAATTCTGAAGTATGTGACACAGAAATGTCTGCCTGGAGACTTTAAAAATAATCTCTTGCTGCAACAATCAGCTATAATTTGAAGGTGCCCCCTGCAGTACCTCATCTTCACCACAAGATGCCCTCAGTCTTCCAAGAATCATTTAAAGTGGTAGTAAACCCCAACCTCCCCCCCAGACAATGGCATAATGTGCTAGTATGCATCACAGGTGGCAGGGCTTCCATCTTCCTCCGCTCTTCCTTCCAGGTTCACTGGCTCTGATCCTTTGAATGGCTATGATATCGCTATGATAAATAAAGTTAAAGAGCATATATGTGGAGGGTAAATCTGGGGTTGATATTCCCTCTGGAGGTACCATCCCTATGTATTGAATATGGATACAATATATGGGATTTGAGACTCTAAATGTACCTCACTGGGTATGATATCAAAGAGCATAACAATTCATAAAAGCTATATCTTATTGTATAATATATATATCTCTCTCTCACAACACAACAGACATTTATTATTTACTTATATAGCGCCATCAATTTACGCAGCGCTTTACATATATATTGTACATTCACATCAGTCCCTAACCCTCAAGGGCCGTACAATCTAAGGTCCCTAACTCACATTCATACATTCACATACTAGGGACAATTTAGACAGGATCCAATTAACCTACCAGCAGGTCTTTGGAGTGTAGGAGGAAACCGGAGTACCTGGAGGAAACCCACACAGGTACAGGGAGAACATAGACTTTTAAAATCAATAGTATGGCTTGAAATGTAACCGTATATCTGGACATAAGATCCTAATTTAGAATGGCCGACGCATTTTGCAGAAGAATCGCTTCTTCAGAGCCTTGGATCTTGTTATACACAAACGTGTCTTCACATGTGCCACAATGTATATGTCTGACAACAAGTGCCTGCCGGGTCCGTGGGGAGAGACTCAATCATGGAACAACATGATTTCAATGACCCATTCCAGAGCCTACTTTAATATCAAAATCCTAAAGCTTAAGTCTTCAAGAGCAGAAATAAATGTCACTAGCAACCCATCTCCATTGTATTACTGAGTCTATAACAACAGTCATGTATTCCCTCTAGGGGCTGAATAACATCCACATATGTGAATCTAGAATTCCAGTCCAATTAACACACCACAAGCACGTGTAAAGCACATGGTCCAAATGAGGACCTTTCTGTCTTTTATAATGTCTGTTGTGTGATATATGTATATGAGAACAAGAAAATATTGCTTTTATGAATGGTTATACTCTTTGATATCGTACCCAAAGAGGTACATTTAGAGTACCAAATCCTAAATATTGTATCCAGAGCTGCTATGATGTCACTCCCATGCATGCACAGGGGAGTCATGGTTTACAGGACAGAGCTCTGCACAGGTATGCCGTCCCTTCAAAGTGCATGATGACGTCACAGCCTGCATCCAGTGTGAATATCTCCTCAGCATCTCAAGTTTAGGAGATATCCACTGTACATTATTATTATTGGAGTATATAATAAGCCTTACCTGTAGGTACAACTTCAAAAGCGGAGTTTAATACCACTTTAAAGGTCAGGTTTATCTTATTTATTTATTTCAGGTACTTACATAGCGCCACCAATTTACGCAGCGCTTTTTACACATCGTACATTCACATCAGTCCCTAACCCTCAAGGGGCGCACAATCTAAGGTCCCTAACTTACATTCATACATACACATACTAGGGACAATTTAGACAGGGTCTAATTTACCTACCAGCATGTCTTTGGGAGTGTGGGAGGAAACAGGAGTACCCAGAGGAAACCCACACAGGCACAGGGAGAACAGGGAGAACATGCAAACTCCAGGCATCTTATAAATAATAAATGCACGTCAGTGCAGGGAAAAAAACGCATTCCTTTATTTTTGTGTTTTTTTTACAGGAGGCCACAAAGCATGGCAACTACAATCAGTGCCCTGCACTCAGTGTATCATCACAGCAGCACACCTCTCCGCATCATCCAGGACTGACAACCCCTGGGAAAAGACCAAAGAGAACCTAGCACATCACATGACTGGCCAGAAGGTATACAAAACATAATGTACTGGTGCCCAAAGCTTCAGCGGGGAGAAAGGAATCCTGTGTTGTGCTTTAAAGCAGACCTAGCATTTACAACCACAATGCAGTGCTCCCCTTTATAATGCTTCCATCCGCTTTTCTCTCCAGAAGGGCAGAGCCAGCTTTGTTTAGGCATCACCAGGGCATTTTTTCTCAGAGAATAGGTGCTGGAACCCGCCCTTTCAGAGTCACCCCTTATCTCTCCCTCGCACCCACCTCCAGGCACCATTCCTTGGTTCCACCTTCTACCCACCCCCCAGGACCTTTTAGAGAATAAAGAACCAAGTATCATTTTGTGATGCTAAGTAATTTGTATGGAATTTGTTAATGATAACAAGAAAAGCAGATCTCCTGCAACCGGCAGCATTACCACTGCCCCCAGTGACAATAGATCTCCCAACCACAATGGATCGCCTGTAATAAAATACCCCCCAGCAGCAATAGACCATCGACAGAAACTATGATCCCCCTGCAACCAGCATCAATAGACCCTCCAGCAGCCAGGAACAAAAGACCCCCCTCAACAGTAGATCCCTTCCATTAACAATAGATCCCCCAGCAGCAGGCATTAATAGATCCTCCAGCACACCCCTAACCTTTTACCATTACATACATTCAGTGCTGGAGGTGCAGGAACGTATCCCCCTGCGTTCCCACTGAAAAAAAGCCCTTGGCATCACCCATGGTTACCATCTATTTCCTGGACTGAGATGCTGGCTCACGTAAATCCTAATGCATGTGCAGTTCTCGGCTGTGTTCACGAACGTATGCCACTATGTGGCTTGTGACAAAGTTACAATGTACAGTCTGATCAATGGAGGAGATGAAAATGCTTCCTCCTGCCAGCAACAGACTAAAGACATCATGTTAACCTAAGCACACTCACCCAACTGGACATATGACATGTCAGGAATGTACTCATGCTGAAAAGGTCTACTTTATTATGAAAAAAAATAAAGTGACTAACCTCGTGGGGTGTAACCACCAACTACATAGATCTTCCCCAGACTTTCACAGGCTGAGAACTCCACCAGGGGGTCTGGAAGGGGGGCTGCTAAGTTCCACGTGTTCTGTGCTGGGTTGAAGGACTCCATGGTCTGTAAAGACTGGCCACCGACAGCATAGAGGGACCCGCCCACTGCGAGGAGCCGGAAATTATACCTGAAGTGAAGAATAGGCAGGAAATGGTCTTGTAGTGAAATGAGAAATAAGAACTGTATACAACTAATCAAACACCATTTCATCCAGTTATGAATTCACGTAAAGCTGACATACAGCCTTCCCTTCAGCCCGGTACAGTTGTACCGGCTCCTCTCCTGTGCTGAAATAGAGTACTCTAATGCACACTGTAAAGCTCTCACAATGTGCATTGGAAGTGGCATCAAGTTAAACAAAGTCTGCCTACATCCCAGCTGGAGGAGAAGACATCCAGCATCATCTAGCTCATGGGTCTCCAAACTTCAGCCTGAGGGCCGATATGGCCCTTTGCTACTCTTTATCTGGCCCTTGGGACACTATTCCGCCCACTGAGACGAACAATGGAGCAGCACTTCTTCCCATGAAACCAATGACGGTGTACTATTCTTCCCACTAGTACCAATGATGGCGTACTATTCTTCCCACTAGTACCAATGATGGCGTACAATTCTTCCCACTAGTAACAATGATGGTGTACTATTCTTCCCACTAGTACCAATGATGGCGTACAATTCTTCCCACTAGTACCAATGATGGTGTACTATTCTTCCCACTAGTACCAATGATGGTGTACAATTCTTCCACTAGTACCAATGATGGGTGCACAATTCTTCCCACTAGTAACAATGATGGTGTACTATTCTTCCCACTAGTACCAATGATGGCGTACAATTCTTCCCACTAGTACCAATGATGGTGTACTATTCTTCCCACTAGTACCAATGATGGTGTACTATTCTTCCCACTAGTACCAATAATGGTGTACAATTCTTCCCACTAGTACCAATGATGGTGTACTATTCTTCCCACTAGTACCAATGATGGTGTACTATTCTTCCCACTAGTACCAATGATGGTGTACTATTCTTCCCACTAGTAACAATGATGGTGTACTATTCTTCCCACTAGTAACAATGATGGTGTACTATTCTTCCCACTAGTACCAATGATGGCGTACAATTCTTCCCACTAGTACCAATGATGGTGTACTATTCTTCCCACTAGTACCAATGATGGTGTACAATTCTTCCCACTAGTACCAATGATGGTGCACAATTCTTCCCACTAGTACCAATGATGGGGCACTATTCTTCCCACTAGTACCAATGATGGTGCACAATTCTTCCCACTAGTACCAATGATGGGGCACTACTCCTCCTATTGACCATCAACCCTGAGGCTATGTTTATGCTCACTGATGCTGGGGTCAGGATATTTTCTATCCTCCCTGGCCCTAATCCAGCCCTCCTAAAGTCTGAAGGACCATATACTGGCCCTTTATTTGAAAAGTCTGGAGACCCCTGATCTAGCTCTTTCTTCCCAGCCTGACTGCCCCTGGCCCATCCCTTTAATTGACTGGATTTCAGTTCTTTCAATGATGGAAGCTCTGCATCTCATGTGGGTGTTGGGTAGGGTGATCTGCATGCAAATACAACCTGCCCAGGAATGCCCAGGGTGTGATGAAGGTGTACAGTGTCATTTCTTCTAAAAAAGGTGAACATCCTCAAAAGAACACACGGTGTACAGCCGTTTGTTTAACTGAAGCCAGTCTAACAACCCGCTTCTGTCAAATGGTCATGCTGAAGAACCTGCTTAAAGGAGAACTATAGTCTCCATACTTACCTGTCCTACAGACCTGCGCTGGTATCTTTTTCTGAATGCCAGTCTTCGGCCTCTTCATTGGTTGCCTGGGTGTATAATTATTATTCAGGATTATATAGCACCAACAGTTTGCGCAGCACTTTACAACATGAGGGCACACCGTACAGTTACAATACAATATAAGAGGAATCTGAGGGACCTGCTCATTAGAACCTACAATCCAGGAGGGAGGGTCATGAGATACAAAAAGTAATAGCTGTGGGGGGTGACCTGTTGGAGAAAATAAAACTGCAGCTGATAGATGGGGGCAGAATAGGCTTCTCTGAAGAGGAGGATTGTCTAAAAGCAAACAGAGTAGGTGATAGTTGGATAGATTGGGGTAGAGAGTTCCATAGGATGGGAGAAGCTTGGGAAAAGTCCTGGAGGCGAGCATGGGAGGAGGTGATGAGGAAGCTATAGAGCAGGAGGTCTTGGGGGAACAAAGAGACGCAATTATGTTGGTATTTAGAGACTAGTTTAGTGATGAGCCTGGCATTCTTGATGGACTGGAGGGGGGATAGCCTATGTAAAGGTAAGCCAATGACCAGGGAGTAGTCAAGGTGAGCGATGGCCAGGGAGTAGTCAAGGTGAGAGATGGCCAGGGAGTAGTCAAGGTGAGCGATGGCCAGGGAGTAGTCAAGGTGAGCGATGACCAGGGAGTAGTCAAGGTGAGCGATGACCAGGGAGTAGTCAAGGTGAGCGATGACCAGGGAGTAGTCAAGGTGAGAGATGACCAGGGAGTAGTCAAGGTGAGAGATGACCAGGGAGTAGTCAAGGTGAGAGATGACCAGGGAGTAGTCAAGGTGAGAGATGGCCAGGGAGTAGTCAAGGTGAGAGATGGCCAGGGAGTAGTCAAGGTGAGAGATGGCCAGGGAGTAGTCAAGGTGAGAGATGACCAGGGAGTAGTCAAGGTGAGAGATGACCAGGGAGTAGTCAAGGTGAGAGATGACCAGGGAGTAGTCAAGGTGAGTTAGAAGCTTTGTGGTGTCATTTGTTAGAGAGGGGTGTATCTTGGAGATGTTGCGGAGGTTGAGGTGGAAAGATTTGAACAGTGATTGGACATCGGGCCAAAAGGATAGTTCATCACTAATGCACATGTGCAGGAAGCCATCATCCGGGTACTTAGACTAACATGAGTAGCTCAGTTTATAGTCCTGGAGGAGATGGCAAGCAGGAAGGTACGGGCATTGCATGTGTTTTCTGCTATACGAGGTGGTATCAAAACGTTTTGACACTCGTTCTGTAACACGCCAACAGATGGTTGCACGCACAGTCACAGGGAGCACCGACCTTCATATGTCAGGGTGCCAAAAGACATTGTCCTGTGTACATCGGGAGCTGTGCAACTGGTGCTATTCTGACCACGTCTGCTATTTCATCATCGACAACAACTTAAAAGAGTAAAGTGCCATGTTGTAAAAACGGCAACCTTTGAGCTGGATCTTCATCTTCGGGAAGAGAGCATTTTCTGGGGTTGAGCTTGTTGAGGTCTTCCTGATCTTTCATCATCTTTCAGTGATGTTCTTCTACTCTTGAAGCACGCATGCCACTGAAAACACCTTGAACGACTCATTGCAGCATCGCCGTAAACTTGCCGAATCATGTCAAACATCTTTGTGGTAAATTTGCTCAGTATTACCCACAATTTCACAGTTGCTCTTTATTCTAGCTTGCTGTCCATGATGAAATAGCAGACATGGTAATGCACATGGTCAGAATAGCACCAGTTGCACAGCTCCCGATGTACACAGGACCATGCTCCCCGTGACTGTGCATTCAGCCTTGTACTGCCATCTGTTGGCGTGTTGCAAAACTGGACTCAAAACTTTTTGATACCACCTCATAAAAGCCTGCCTGCTCGCAGGTTTTTACAGTGGGACTTCAGTTTCGCTTTAATATATTTTTATATTTGCATACCTCCTCTCAAGAGCCAGTCTATTGCTTGCAATAGGGATGAGGAATAATGAGGAAGGGTATTTTGATGTTTTCAAGAAGCTACGTAAAGCATTCTGCTGGCCCCTCCCACCAACCATGATCTGCCTCCATTGCATAGAAAAGCACATAGACCCAGTCAAGCTGTCACTGAGTCTAAAATAAGGAATATCATGAAAATGGAAAGGTTGTATTTAAACATTTGATGGGGGGAGGGAGAAACCAAAAAAGGCAGAATATAAGCAGATTAAACTTCAGCTTTAAAATTCATTAAGGGCCCAGTCATACCGTGTGATGTGATCTGCCATGCGAAGCGAGTTTCAAATCCCATGGCAAGTCGCACCTTATTGTCCGCAATTAAAGTGTACATATCGGTGCAATTCCAACTTGGCCAGAGTCGCACTGATTTTGAAAGTAGTGCATGCACTACTTCAGGTGCGACTCTCAGTCACCTTTGTCTTGTAAGCCAGAGATTTTATTTATTTATTTCAGGTACTTATATAGCGCCATCAATTTACACAGCGCTTTACATATATATTATACATTCACATCAGTCCCTAACCCTCAAGGGGTGTATAATCTAAGGTCCCTAACTTACATTCATACATACACATATTAGGGCCAACTGAGACAGGATCCAATTAACCTACCAGCATGTCTTTGGAGTGTGGGAGGAAACAGGAGTACCCAGAGGAAACCCACACTGGCACAGGGAGAACATGCAAACTCCAGGCAGGTGGTGCCATGGCTGGGATTTGAACCAACGACCCTAGTACTGCCATTTAGCCACTGTGCTGCCCTGCGTCGCACCTGAATTCGGAATGACATCCGACTTTGAAATTGCGCAACTTCACTGGAAGTCGCACGATCACAAAGTCATATTGGTGTGACCGGGGACTTCATGTATTTTGATGTATCCCTATGGAAGGGTGCAGTAGCTTATAAAACGCAGCAATGTGAAAAGTCTAACAACCCACTATAAAGCATCACATTTGTTATACCCAGCAAATAAAAGAAACATTTTGTTTTCCTTTCTTTCTCATGCTTTTTGCTTACACTGTAAACAATTGTAAAATACATGGGAACAGAGAAAGAATAAATGAACTCAAACATTGCAAAAAAAAAAAAAAAAAGTACAAAGCTGCATTATTTCCCACAAAATGAGATTTAAAGCCCTAATGGGGATTTGGTAAGAACAAACCAGAGCCATTGTCAACTACTAGATTGTTTCCTTTACAGGAGTCCCTGGACAACCTTGTATGGGCATGAGGAATTATCCCAAGGAAGCCCCAGGATAGAAATGTTTGGAAAACTCCCATCCTCCAGACCCTGCCTCTGTAAGGGGGGGGGGGGAGGGAGGGAGGGATCCTTTAAATTTCCATCTTCCCTAA